GTATATATTACAGTATCACAAAATTTTTTTTAAAAACGAAAATATTCCAATATTATTTCTGTGCAATACGCTGCTAAAAAATTAGTTATAGACATAAAAGTAAGAAATTTAGAACCTAATTTACAAAGACATGAAATAAATTAAATCAAAAGTAGTAAAATCCCAAAATTTCCCAATTAAAAAGAAAATTAACTTATTGTTTTCAAACTAGAAGAATTTTTGAAAAAGTACAAAACATCAGAAGAGGAATTCAGTCAAAATCTCATTCAGCGTTCTCAAGAGGAGGTAGATCAAATTGAGTTGAAGTCCGTCTTTGAGGAAAACCACTGCATTTCTGTTCATCCAAAATTAACCATCTTAAATAATCTAATTATAATAGTTTGTATGAAAATTCTGAATAGCTCTTTCTATTCGTAGGAATAGCTCTCTATTCACATGAAATTAAATGTACAAAAACAATTCCATATGAAATTAATTCAATGTTCAAAAAAGTAAAAGAAAAATAGACACTATATATTGATAGTAAAATTTAAATTAAAATGTAATAATTACAAAATATATAAAATTAACAGAAAACTTTAATTTTAGGACTCGCCACTAAAATATAGCACACCAAAAGGCAGGAGTAGATCTTAATGGTTGCTTATTTGGTGCCATTAGTAAAACAAATTGGCGATGGAAAGTTTGAAATCTTCCAAAAGATTAATTTTCAGTTTTTAGATTTTGCAAGTAAGAAAAGGAAAAAAGAAACAAATGTTAGAAAAGAATATAATTATGATGTTGAGGCCTTTGATGACTAAGAATATAGTAGACCTTCTGTTAATAAAAGTGTAGTCAAGGAAAAAAGTGCAATAATACATATCTACAAATTACACTATAAAACTCTTTAAAGCAGTTGTGGCCAACCATTTTGGGAAGGGTGCTACTATCTTAAAAAAAAAAAGTTATGTGTGCAACTTCCAACTCTTCCAACATACTAAAAATTATAAAAATTTGAAAAAATGTTATTTATAGCTTGATTATGAGATTTTTACGTAAATCACACTTTTTGTGTGTGTGTGTGTGTGTGTAAGTCTTGAGTAGTGGACATTTAAAAAATAATGTAAATAATAAAACTAATGTACAAACTAGGTTTAACATTTTTAAAAGCTCAGTCAGTTAGGTTATGTATAAAATAAAAATGAGTAATTTGAAACATATAATTCAAAATAACTATTAAACAGTACTTAATTAATATGGTTTTTGAATATGTAGTTTTCTCCAAGTCATCTATATTAAGATTAGTTCTTGAAGATACTAACAGAATTAGGCGTTTTAGGTGTGTATCAATTAATGTTGAATAATATTTTGATTTTATTATGTTCATAATGGAAAACATTTGTTTATAAAAACGTGTTGATCCAAACCACCACAGTATCTGATAGTCAAATTATCTAAATTTGGAAAATTGCTTGTTGGCACAAATTTCTGAAATTCAAGATAACTTGAATCATTTGCAGTTGAAATAAGTTCCTTATATTTGCTTTTCAGTGTAGTAGGCTGCTATAGATCAGTAATTTCAATTTGAATTTCAGTTGTGTAACAATTAACGTCTTGCAGAGAAATTGAATTATTATATTTATTCTAATGTGTTTATGTGTTTATCTATCGGAGTTGATGGAGACAATGTTATTATTTTTTCAAACGTTTCCATTTTTCAATAAGCCTTCGCGTGCCACTATTAAAACTTGGCTTGCATGCTGCTAGTTGGCCATCCCTGCTCTAAAACATCCTTCTCTTATTTGAGCTTTTAGATAAAAAATTCATTATTTAAAAACCATCCTTTTAAAAGAGGTCAGTGCAAGAAAAGGGTTGGAAATCTTGGACAGTTCTGTTAGTTTCGTATGGCATAGCAAATGGCAAGTAGATGGTTCATATCACTAAATGATTGAAATAGTTTCAGTAGTTCTTAAATTTGGTATAGGTATTGCATTTTTATATAAACTATACATTGGATCATGCTTACTTTATAAAAGGTACAAGGCTGAAATGACAAACCTTAGCTTTCTTTCTTGTTTGTCAAGTTATTATAGTAGGTGCTGCTTAGTGTGATCATGTTTTTCCAAGTCTATTGTAATAACATTAAATAATGAGAAAAAATACCCATCAAAATAAGAGGAATTTATAAATAGGCACTTTCACAGCATTTAAATTATGAAAATGCAAAAGTTTGTGTGTGAACAGTTTATAGTGGCTTTAATACGAAAGCTTATTTACAAATAGTTCATAATATTTCTGAGAATTATTTGACCAATGCTCTGTCCCTAATTGTTGTACTAAAAGAGCATCCTTTATTGGAAGAGAACTTACCAACGTAAAATTTAAAATTAGCCCCCCTCCCAAAAAAAACCTGTAGTTTGGTGTAAATGTTTTCAAGGAATATTTTTTCAGGTAACAAATATTCTGCACTCTCTTTCTCCCCCCTCTTAAAGGAGAGTCAATTGATGAAGATATTTAAAATCATGGAGTTAGCCTCAAAATCAGTGGTGTTAATGAAAAATGCCATCAAACTAAGGGTCCCCCCCCCCAATTTTGAATTTTTGACTAAGTCAAAATCAAGATATTTGGTGATTTAATCCCTTACTTGGTGATATTTGTTTTTAACTTAAAACAATTTTTATAATGCATTTTAAACTTATTTTGTGACTTCCAGTTAAAAAAAAATATCCTATAATATTTTGATCATATTAACTAAATAGTTGATCACAATAAGCAATGTATTTTTCATGCCTTCCTATACAAACATGAGTGATCCCAGCGATTCATTAACAATATTCAAATGGTAACATTAACCACAATCATGTTAAGCAGTGTCTGCTGTGATATCATCAACAACTGATAAACGATTTCTTCAGTTTGCTTTCACATTTGGCAATAGTTGCTAAACTGCGACATATATAATTAACAACAGTTTGCCTTACAAGGTAGATTTGAAGCTGATATTTAATTTTGAAGTTGATGATATATGTTTTCTCCATTCTCTGTATTATAAAAATAGTCACCATAATTGCAGTAGAGTTTTTATGCATTTGGTCATGTTGAAAGGCCGAAGCATCATTTCCAATTAAACTGGAATAACATTGTTTTACAATTTTGCTTTAGCAGCTGTTTAAAATAGATGCACTAAGTTAAAAGTGAAATATATATATCTAAATTAATTGATTTGATATTTATTATAACAAATTATTATTTGTTATTTTTAGTATACAAACTATTACTTATAAAGTTTCAGCAATGTGACATTTTTGTTTTTAATATAGCACATTAAGAACTGGTGAATCCATATAGGGTTTCTAAATATTCCTTTTTAAAAACTAATTGGATTTTAATTTACTGTTGCTTAGCAAATACAAATGAAATGTTTTACATGGTTTATAAAAAAAAAAAAGTCTTACAGATATTTTATTTTACAAATGACTACTAGGCCAATCAGCTCACTAATATTTTTGGACAGTACAACCAAAGTAAGTTTGCATGTAACACTAGTTCAAATGAATAGCCTTCACTGGTAGTCTAGAAGAGCATAAAAAACAAGAATTGGAATCGGGTAGTACAAACCAGTAATGGTAAGCCTGTAGTGAATAGGGACCTGTGAGTAGAGGTAGGTTTAAGTTTAGCTCATAGCAACGTGCAATATTATTTGCTTGAATTAAAATGAAAAATATTTCTAGTCTAATAATTTTTTTTGACTATTAGGTCATGATCTCAGTGCAGTGTATCTGCATGTGAATATTATCAACGTATTTTTAACATATGAAAATTTATAAATCACTTGTGTGAAAATGCTAAATATAACAAAATCATAAGCGGAGAACGTTACACACTAGTAAGTCATTTTGGAATATTGCTGAATGATATTAAATTGGGGGAAAATCAACTAAATCATTTATCCTAATTAGTTTTTTAAACAACACTTGAAAATACCTCAGAAAATAATATTTAGCACTTAAAAATCTTAAAAAAAGTCCTAATCATTGAAATTAAATGCTCTGTTAATATTTGTCAAACCTTTTGCATTTTAATATTTAGAATTAATGCAAACTTTTATGAAATATAAGTGTATAGATTAAAAAATCATTTTAAAATTCATTCATTCTCTAGTGATTTAAAATTATTATTTAGTTTAAAAGTACCGCAATATGAATGAGTGTGTGATTTAAAACATTTTTGTAAGTAAAAATCTAGCTCTGTGACTAATGATTGCAAGAATTAAGTTTATGTAGGAACTTTTTATGAACATTCTGTATAGAATGTTTTTTGGGAGTGTTCAAAAACAGTTTCAGTAACTTAATACTGAACATGTCTTGAAGCTGGAGTACTTAAAGCATTTAGCACAATTAAATGTTAAATTATTATATGCTATTGTCTGCTTTTTAATATTTGGTCATTTCACTAAATTCGTCATTTTTAAAGTATTTCTTAGTCAAGAATGTGAAAGAGATTGATATTTTTGCATGAAGTTATGAATGACTATGCAAATATGAATTGGATTGTTAAATTATATTTAAATATACAGAAACTTCTGGAAATTACAGATCAGTACTATGTTGCTGATTCCTCACTATTGAAATGTTTTAAGTACCACCACTTTAAGCACTGTCTGTCCATGTGCAGTTTTATTATTCTGCAGGCAGTCACAAAATTGGTCAAAACATTTTAGGAATCCTGTTCAGAATTGTTCCATAGCATTCTTCATTCTGTGTCCACAGCATTTATGAAACTTTTTAAATATCTGTATATAATTAACATCAGTTGTGTATGAAATACAGAAATATATTAAGTTAACCTATTTTATGCCTGAACTATACTATATTATTAATGTGTATGACTACCTGATTGCTGATATTCCAGCAGAAGAAATTGTAGTTATTTTTTAATATAACTTATAAAATGTAAGTAAGAATTTGAAAAGTTGTGTGTATTTTTTAACATTACTGAAATTGCATTTTATTTTTCAACAGGTTTGATTCTGAGGATTTGGTGAGTAAAGGAAATGACTTGAATGAAAATAAAGCCAAGTCTGCTGATGATACAGGAAGTTTTTCAGAATGCTCTGAAAATCTACCAAATTTTTTAAATTTGCCCGTGCCTCCTCGCAAAAAGTACGCCATTCTATTATTTCATGCTTAATTATTATTGAAATTTTTTGTAAACTAATTTTCATATGTATTTTCAGAACTGAGTTAAATAAGGAAGTAAGAGCAGCTTGTAAAGTCCTCAATGATTATCTTCTAAAACCAGATCGAGGAGGTGAAAAAAAAACAGTAAGGTGCTTTTTAATCTGTAATGTACTTGTGCAGTGTTGGTGCAGAAATTATTTTACTATTTTAAATCATAGAAAATTAAAGTGTTTTTACTGATCATTTTTAAATGCAAACTCATATCGTTTAATATTCATTGAATAATTTATTTGTACAAAAAACAAGATTCTGATGTAAATTTTCTAAGCCCTTACCATGAAAATTCAGTATGTTTTGATTAGTTGTTGATTTAGTTTAAACAAACAAATATGAACAAGGCTTTACCCAATGTTTTGAACTTTCATTTGATGTTTATTGTAAATATCATTATTGAAATTACTTGCATTCTGAGTGGTCTTTATTATAAGATTTCTATCTCATCTTGAAGTAGTCTTGTTTTGAAAAATGGTTTATAGTTTTTTTTTTATTTTTATTTTTTTTTTATTGTTGTTTTTAGTTTTAATTTGCTGTATCATGTTTTTAGTAATAAAATTATTTACGAAAATGTGCATAAGCAAAAGTTTAACTGTTGTTAAGTGCTAAGGTCTAATTTGTTTGCAAATCAAATTCTGTAAATAAATGAAATTTAGGGTATGAGCAATGCATGTTACTTTTTATTTTCAGGCTATTAAACAAGTATTTCTTGTTTATTTATGTCTTTTGATAAAATGTGCAACTTTTAGTTGTTTATTTTATACCACAGTCTAGTAGTAAAATGATAGGTATAAAGTTTTGTTGGTAGAACTGCTAGTTTGTATCCGTTAGATTTGACAGAATGTAAATTTTGACAGCCTAAATGGAGTTTCATACTTTTTTTGCTTTTCTTCTTTTGATGCTTTCCAATTTAAAGTACAACTAGGTGTGAATTTGAGGAATTTTTCTTTTAGCTGCTCATCCATGTGTTGAGAGAATATTCATCATGAGAATTTCCTTTTTGTTTTTTGAATAGTAACTGTAGCAATTTTTTCCTTTTGTCTTTCTTTATTCAATTTTTTGGGGGGGGGATTTATCTATTTCAAGGGCATTCTGTACTATCTCTAACTCAAGATAATGTACATCTATTAAAGAAAGAGATATAAATTTAAAAATTTACTTTTGGCAGTATAGGGATGTTTCACAAAAACCCTAAATTTGAAAATAAATAACTTGGAAATGGTTATAGATTAAAGCATGAAACCAGTGGTATTTGTTAAAACACCATTAAGAATCTAATACAAAAACTTCAAAATTTTCGATACAAATTGTGCCAATAGATTGCAGTTTGCATTACCATAAGTAGGCTGTGCATAGTGGCTTGCATTCACATCAAAAGCGATTAAAAATGTATACCTTTCATACAACACAGATGTCACAAACGAGGAATGAAATCATTAGTTATGTAGTTTGTCGCTGGAAATCAACAGACAAGCTGGACAAATAGCTTCCTGCAGTTTGTTGGGTGTTAAAAGATTTTTGCGGTAAACAATGTCTTTCAGTGTGCCCAACAGAAAGTAGTTGCGGGGCATGAAGTCCAATGGATATAAAAGCCAATTTGTGCCTCTTCCCTTAACTTCCAAATAATTCAGAGCAATAACTTTCATTAAAGTATTCATCCAGAAAGTAAAAAATATCTTGTGTGCAGTGCGAGCAAGCCCTATGGCATGAACCATGTCATGCCTATCACCCAACACTTGTTGAAGGGTGGCAAGTTGTTTCAAAAGTGCAATATACCAGTCCACTCATAACCATTTCTCTCAAGAAAAAGAGTACAATGATGTTTTTGCAGGAGATTGCAACCTGGATGGTAAATTTTGAGTGATGGAGTGGTCATGTGTGAGACAGATGTGGGTTTTTGATGCCACAAAATCTCCGGTTAGGTCTGTTAACGACACCATCCAGATGAAAATAAAGCTCATCTGTAAACCATCTTCAGTTGATATCGAAACCAGAATCATCAATGACGTCAAGCATAGTATCAATGAAATCCTTTCGCTGTCATTCGGCTTGAACTGGTTGAGTGTGCCGGCATTGAATCTTGTATGGAAATGTCTAATGTCTTCCACAGGTTTCTGTACATGCTTGGTAGCAAAATTCCAGTTTCAGCTGCAAGTCTGCAGACAGATTTATACGGATGACCCTTGGTAACTGCAAGTATTGTTGCATTTTCAGGTGTAACCAATGGAGTGGGTAGGACACCTATTTCCAACCAACGCATTGGTTACATTGCCTGTCTGTTGAAATTTGTATAATAGCTCACAAATTGTTCTCCCATCTGGTTGTTTTCCGACTTTGGAAACTTCTTGTGGCAGAAGGATTGGGATTTAATTGGTGGTACTCCAACACAATAAACAGACCTTCCTCCATGGAATACACCACTTCTGAAATTTCATTATATGCTAGTAAAAATGGTCATGTTTCAACAGCAAAATCTTCGACAACTGATCATTCTGGGCATCTGAGCTTTCTTATAGGGATCCTAAATGCCACCTCCAGCACCAACTAAATCTTTGTTAATAAAATTTTGATGTTTCATTATCAAATTCTTAATGGTTATTTTAATAAACATACCACTGGTTTCATGCTTCTATCTCTCACCATTTCCAACGTATTTATTTTCAAAATTAGGTGTCCTACGTAAAACACCCTGTTGTGTGTGTTGTATGTAGAAGGTAATTCATTTTTTACATAAATTAAAATATTCTTCATAAAATTAGATAAAAATTTGTGTATTTTAATATGTGTAGAAAGTACTTAAACCAAAAAATGCCTCTCAAACAACTGAAGACTTAACAAGGAATCGGTCATGTCAAACGCGAGTCTTTTTATAGTAATACTTCTTAAATTAATTTTAAACTTGAATAAAACTTTGTGTGACCTCTTAAACTCTCATAAAATTTATTTAATCAATGACGGCAGTGCTTTTATATGTACACCTTGCACCCAAAAAAATGGGACAGTTCTATATCTCTCGTTCTACTGTACCGATTGTTGAAATTTAGCTTGCATTTTCCATGTCTTGAATGTGCAATTTAGGATATATATTAGATTTATATATAGGATTGCTCTAACATAGGTATTTTGACATAAAATCAGACTTTTTCTGAAATAATATACCAAGTTTTTCCATATTTTGATTCTACAACTCAAAATATGCCTAGATATTAAATTTTGTCATTTTTTGTGAGAAATTTATGGAGAAATTAAAAAATTTATCTTGGCCCTTTTTTTCTCAGTTTGTGCCAAGTCACTTGGCGAACTTCTTAATTTATAGCAACCTAACCTCCCTTTCCTTTTTTTCATTGTGCACGAGCGGGAAAAAAGGTTATCGTTTATACTTTCAAATAATTTTAACAGTGTACGTAAACCACATTTGGCACTATTATCGCTTATAGCAAATGTGCCAATATGTAAATTCACGTATATCTTGGGAAATTTTGAATAAAGAAATCTAATTTTTTACAGGTGTGCTTAGAAATAAATCTACTTTAAGAGGATGGTAAAAATTTTATAGGTTATAATTAAAAAATGTTTTCAAAAAATTTATAAAAATTATTTTAAAATGCAAATTTTAAAAATAAATCGTAAAAAATGGGTGAATGTTATTTGGACTGAACCTAAAGTTCGAAATGTGAAAGAAAGAATCAAATAAGTTTAATAAAAAAAGCGATATTAATAAATATATACCAAATTCAATTAACATGGAGGAGCTAAAATTTTTAGAGCTAGTTTTAAAATCTACTCATGCAATTTTTACAAAACTTTTTATTTGGGTCTAATTTGAGTCATAGAATCAAAATATGGAAAAATATTGGTATGTTATTTCAGAAAAAGTCCAATTTTGTGTCAAAATACCTATCTTGGAACAATGCTATATATAAAGCTAATATATATCCTAAGTCCCACTTTCAAGCTCTTGGAAAATGCCAAGTTCAATTTCGACAATTGGTCCAGTAGAATGGGAGATATAGAACTCTTCCATTTTTTTGTGTGCAAGGTTTGCATATTAAATTATATATTGAATTTACCAAAAACTATATATAGTCACTTCACTTACTGCATCATGTTTTAAAAGACCCAGACAATTCTGTTTCTAGTTATAAACTTATTGCATAAAAATCACTCTTGCTTGAGTGTCTCTAAACCTTACAAGCCCATAACACGTATATTAAAAGTTTGTTATTTGTATATTAGGAGTTTCAGTTATTTTTCAGAAAATGTGCCTGTTTGTAAAAGAGTTATTTGTGCTCTTGTTAATTGTTGCTGTTTTTAAAATTGATTATCTCCTTTCTTGTTTCCGCCTGTTGTTATACCATTCACCTGGTTAGGGTTTGTACTTTCAAAGTGGGGGATCATGGAGAAAAAAACTGTTATTTTAAAAGCGATTTTAGAACCTGAACTTAGCAGTTGGTTCAAAAGAAATGATATGACAAGAATTCAATGAGTATTGGTTGCAGCTTCAATTTTTATATACAATTAGGGTCCCGAAAACTCTGTCTAATGTGGATCAAAGGGCGGCCTAGTTTGTGAAAATGCCGGGGTATCGGGAAATGTTTTAAATTGTGAAGTACAAGTGTTTCCCCAGAAAATGCAGTATTTGTATGTATTGGTTGCCTGAGAATACAGCAGTTTGCAAAGAATTCAATATTGTAACTAAAACTAACAAAATACCCATAAACAAAGGAAAACTATGTACTTTATGAAGGCATAGAGCCTTTTATAATGAAAATTAATGAATACCTACTGTATAATAATTTACTTGGTAAGACAGACCTCAGAAAAATACTTTGTGAAGGCATAAAGCTGTCTATAATGAAAACTAACTAGCTGACTTTGCAAAATCTGGCTACTTTTTCGTAAAGTAATACGTAATTTGCTGTTGTTTTCTGCACTGAACTCTGCGTTTTGCTACTTCATTACGAAGACGACGAAGGAACAACAAGTCTATTACCAATGCCTTTTTTTGTTCAAAATACTGTAGGGAGGTTTCAACAGCTTCTAGTCCTTTACTATGTGATAATTTAGCGGCTTGTGTGGTGGAGCCTTCAAAGACAACACCATCATCATTTTCCAGCATTTCTTTGTTAACTGTGATAACAGCAATAATTTCTGCATCAGACATAATGTCTTGCTTGGTTCCATTCTGGAACCACTGTTTGATGTCATTTTTATCGGCTACTGCTCATCCAGGAACTCTTTTCAGGAGGTCGAGTAAGTTTACATTTTCTGCATCATCATGTTGCAGAAAGAGGAGAGGAAAACAGCTTGTGCCTATATCTTCTCTTGTGACTCACCGAAATTCCTTGGACCAGTGGCTGGCATAACGTTGTGACATCGGGTGGTAAAATCATTGCTCATATGTGCCCATTATTTTAACTCTCCAATGTCTATGTACAAAGATGCGTTGTTCAAAATCAGAATAGCCTACCTTGTTAAGTTTTTAGGTTTTAAAAAACAGCTCAACTGATAAAAGAAATACTTCATGGAACCATTTTTTTAAAATTGCACAGCTTATCCAGGCATTTGACTGGTTTAGATAACAAACGGAAAGTTCATCCATTTCATTGTGCTTAAACGCACAGGATTTCATTGATTTTCCTATGACACCAAGTTTTAATTTGTGGTCACCTGTTGCATTACTGCATACTAGATTGTTACCCTCTTCTTGCTCCTTTTAAAACCAGTAGATGACTGCTCTTCCTTGAAAGCAAGACTTTTCATTGGTAACAGTTTATAATTTAAACCCTGTTTCATCACAATTGTACTATTGCTCCAAGATCAAACCTTCAACTTTGAAAAATTTCTGAAAGTTTTCCTTAAACTGAGACATACCCTCCATGTCCCCAGATAGTTTTTCCCAACAAATACTAAGCTGTCGCACTCCATATTGTTTCTTCCAGTGATCAAGCCAGCCAGTGCTTGTGACAAATATAGACTCATTGTCTTTTTTTTTTAATTTTTCATTAAATTTCAAGGCCTTCTGTTGCAAGACTGGTCCACTAACTGGCATGCCCTTCTCTCTTGTTTGGCAAAACCATATGTAAAGTGCTTCATTTTCTTCATTAAATTCACTTTCCTTCATACTTTTTCTTTCTCTCAATGTTTCTATACACATTCTCTTAACCACAATTCAATTTCTGTCCACTTCTTCTTCCAGTCTCCAATCATACTTTTTTTGCCGACTCCAAAGTCCTTCGCCACTGCACTGACACTTTCTCTCTTATCTAGTCTCTTTAATGCCCCTAACTTTTGCTCCATAGACAAGTTCATTTGTTTTCCTTTAACAAAAGATGCGATTGCCGAGTACTGTCCAGCACCCACAAACTTTGAAACAGCTTTTAACAATGCAGTACAGCCACTCACATTGAATTCTGCAACGCAGCTGAGAAATCGACTAACCCTGGCAAAGGCTGCAGGCAGATTGAACAGCTGAACCAGTGTCGGCTTAACGCATGCTGGTGCCAGTCATGTGGTGGAACGCATGAAGAAGGGGACGCATGCACTCAGGCTAGGCCCTTGAATGGGTCTGTGTGCGGGATGTTTTTGGCCTGCCAGGGTGCGGCCGAGTTATCCGGACCGGGTTACCAAGTTTTCGGGACTCTACTATTCTAATTCTTTTGAGGAGGTAGTAAATGATGATGATGATGTTCCTCTAACTGAAAATTGAATGTCTTCAGGATTCAGAGATTATATTGATATAGATAACAATGTTTTGATTTGTCAATCATATAATTCTGATGCTATTTTGTTTTCATATGCAGTAATTGCTGATTGCACAATGTTTTAATTTTCTGTGAATGCTGTTGATGTTCTGGATATAGAATGTGTGTGTGATATTCTCAGTGCAAAAAATAATGATTTGTAATCTGATGCATTATTTATTCTAGGTGTTATAATTTTGAACAACAGCATTCTATATATTACTGAAGAACTTTTTAAAGCTTGATAATTTAGAGAATAGTTCAGTGCTTGAAACTGAAAGAAAAACATTCATATATTATTAATTTCTTCAAATAATAATCTTAGATAGTTTTTGATTTAACTCATATTTCTGTTATATTTTAGATAAATAAATATTTATTGATGAAATGGCACCATTTATTAAAATTTTTATTACCTTAATTTATTAAATATTATGGTGAATATCTGAAATTATGAATGGAATGCCTGTTTTTATTTAAAAATATTTGCTTTCCTTCTAAATTAATGCATAACCTTATATCACTTTTCTGTGTCCTTTGCACGTTTAGAATAAAATGAAGTGATACTTTATGGAGATTTTCTTCTCTGGGTGATTCCTAGTGTTCAGACTTTTTTTTTAATAAATACTCTTCTGCTGAATGTGTGTTAATTATTATGCTTGACAGATAAAAATATTATTTAAAATATCTTAGTCATTGGGTAAAATAGAAAATTTCATGCTGAGTACAAATTTTTGTATCATTATATGTATCTTATTGTTCTTAGTTATGTTATTTATCATATGAAACTACGTTTAACTACTCTCAGTACTAAAATTGATGATCTGGGTAATTCATATTCATATAGCATGCAACAGTCCTGGAGTGTACACTTTTCACTTTGCACTCTTCAAAATTTGCTGTACATTTGATCATCTAGTTTCAGTTTTTCTGGAATACTGTTTTACAGATTTTGGGAAGCAAATGAGTTGTTGCAGAGTAAGGTCCAAAATGTATCCAGCTATTAAATACATTGATGGTTGCATTTTAGACTTGTTATGTGCCATTATCATTATACTTTACTCAAGTTTTCAAATGTGAAGTATCATTTCAACACTACCTTACATCAGCCATACTGTTTCACTGTCTTGTTCAAGATCATCTGCATGGTACTTACTCGTTGTCATGGATTTGTGCCATCTCTTGAGATAATACTATAGTACACTTTTACCCTAAAATTAAAAATTTTGATGCATTTTAATCATTTTGGCAAATAAATATATTTATCAAAACGTGTGTGTTCATTTCTAAGGCAAATTTCTATAGTCTTTATCTGAACAGTAAAATATATATTTTCCTCTTCTGTTTTAAACCCTGATCTAAATTCAAATAAAAAGCAGCCATTAGAAAAAAAGGCAATATTAGTTCTTTCTCTTTTGAATTAATTTCTTTGCCTGGAGTTTGATGAAACGGTTATGTAGTATCAAAATACTTTTACCCATGAGCTTCATTTTAGATCAGTTTACTACTTTGTATTTTTTCACACAAGTGGTGAGTTTAGAGTAGAAAATCTCAGTGAAATTTTAAAAATAAGACTTTTTAAAAACTTTTGTTATATAACATCATATTTACCCAAGTCTTTTTATTTCTGCACAAATGCAAGTGCTAGGTTTAAGGTGAGTATGTGGCATCATACATGATCAAAAATCTGATGCTAAACATCAAAGTTTAACCTACCGTAAATACATTCAAGAGACTTAAATTAGCATATAATTGGACAAAGTCATTTAACACATGGCTTGTTTTTGTAATATTTTGAATACAGCATGCAGTTTATTGAATATTTCACTGAGAGTGCTGAATGCATAATGCTTTCAGACCATCATAAAATTAAGAAATCCTGAGTTGAACCATTTTACATACCATAATTTTTTTTAAAAAAAATCCTTGTATATGTAAAGATATATGTAAATATTAAAAACAAATTTAATTTCATTCAGAATCTGATGACTCTATATGATTCGTGTTTTTTCTTTTTCAGATTGGCTCTTTCACATTGAATATTTTAGAGCACTTCTTTCCATGCCATGTTTTTTTCTTTATATTAGGAATGTACAAAATTGTGTGACATTAAGTCTGGGCTACACTGAGTGCACCTTAATGATCTTGAACAGCTCTGCAGCATTTGCAGTATTTGAGTTCAATAGGTAGCCTGCCAGCATGTGCGTTTTACTTTGTCACGCTGTTACTTACACTGTTACTCATTGTTGCTTACATGTGGCTTTAAAGCACCTTCACCACTGAAATATTGCAGGTATTTAACCACTGTATGCTTAACATGAGGTGTCAGATGTGTTACTCTTTCCAAATTTAACACAAAATTCAGTGATATATCTCTGCTGCATTTATTTATTTATTTATTTATTTATTATTATTTTTTTCATGAAAGCATTGTTCATGACAAAATGTAAAAAGTACTTTCTCTAATGTAACCAAATACAGAAGGCTAAAAGCCACAGCCATGGCACATTTAGGTATGTTGTGGTGTGTAACTTTAATAAAGCTCAGTACAAGAAGCCATGCCGAATAGTGTAAAAAAGAAATTAGTACAGTCTTAAAACATTTTAGTTAACTTTGCGCATATGGTCTTGACATACATTGCAAAACAAGAACTGCCTGTCTTTTTTACATTAATATGTATGTATTGTATTTTCTAACTGATTATGAAGAAATATTTGAAGTAGGCATTTGAAATATGTATAGATGTGCATTAACAAAATTGATTTAATGCTTATGCTTTTGAGTTATACTGCATTGCTATTACTTTTATATGCTTTGCAGTTATCAAGTTTGAACATCATTCAGAATGAATGGTTCAAGGTTGCAAACCAGAAGAATTCCGATCCTCATGTTATAGAAGATTATCTAGATGCATTTGAAGAATTCTCAAAATTATTATTGGAGCGTGTTGTGAACCTTTCTGATAGCAATGTAGGTATAAACTGTGTATTATATATTATTATTTATTAATTATTTAGTTTTATGCATTTTTAATTTACATTTGGGTCTGTTTCATTCAATAAAAAGTAATAAAGAGGAATTTCTAATTTAGACCTGAATTGTATGTGATGGAACATTTTTCTGCAGTACTGTAGGTATTCCATTTAATACATCTATATGTTGAACATCATCATGTTCTAAGAAAATCATAGCTTAAAAGAGAAAAGTGCAAATATTAATCTGTGGTATCATTAATTAAGGAATTTGAGTAAGTGAAAAAAATGATTTATTTGTAGGAGAATTCTCTATGCATCTGGGGAAAATGCCTTGTGAAGAAAGCTCTGTATGAAAATTGAAAGGCTGGTTAATGTGAGGCTATGTAGAAGGAAATGTATTAAATCTTTGAAGCTTTTGAATGTAAAACTAATACTTTCAGAAATATGTGTAAAATTTTTCTATTTTACAGAGGTATGCAATTTCTTTAAGGTTATAATTTGGAAAAGTTGGACAAAAACATATAAATGTTTTTAATAAATATAAAAAATTGGCTGAAATATTTTTTTTATTAAGCTCAAATTATACTTTCTAGAAAATTCATTTGTTAAGAGGTATTGACATTAAATGGAAATTTAATTTGATAAACATTACAAAGTTTTGTATATTTTAAATGTTATCAATATGTCAACTGAAATGGAAGAAACGAAGCTTTCTTCCCTCTCCTTTTCTTTTTTAATCAGGGAAATTTTGTTGCCTATGCTCTATGTTCTGTTGTTTTATTTCCTGTTTTGAATGCTTGGTTTGAAATTAGTTTTAATTGTAAAGTCCTCTCTGAATTTTTATTTTTTTTACTGTTGTAATATATCATAAACCAAAAGTCACTAGTTTCCCCCCCCTCTCACTTGAGATGTCACCACCAGTGGCTGAGTGTTTAGGACCACTCTGTACTGGGAGGTCAACCCAGATTTGGTAACAGTGAAGGGGTTGGCTGTATGGTTGGTTTTCATGATTTTCTCCATGTGCAACATAAAATATAAATATGAGCCAGTTTCCTTCAAAAAGATATTCCTTCCCTTAGGCATGTAGTCCTTATATGTTTTGCCATATTGAAATCAACCTAATGTACTGTATTCAGGATGCAGTTTGTATCAAAATTCATGTCTTGAATTCAAAATGTTTTTTAAACATTAAAAAATTTAGTTCAAAATCCCATTGATAAATGGTGGTGCACTATGTGCAGCATTGCTTTCATTGATAATTCAATTATTGATTGATTGATTGCTTTCATTGCACTTTCACGTGTTATTTCACTAAATGAGATTTTTATAAATGCTGTACAGTTGCTTCATTATGCAGTCTTTCATACTATCGTGTTCAGTATGGCTGTCATCACCAAAAATAATCTTATTCTGCAAGCAAGTGGTTAGATCATTCCTTGATGTTTTGAACATGCATATATAGTAGAAGTAATTGTCTTCAAGTAGACAGAAACTTTCAATTTTGTTAGGGATGATAAATTGCTGATTTTCGCCTATGCTCCATATGCTGCCATAAAAAAAGATGTACAAATCAAATCCAGGTACTAATGACGCCAGGCAGTAGAACATGACTAACTTCTTACTCTGCCGTAATAAAGAACTACGTCATAGGAAACTGCTTTATGAGCAGCACCATCTTGCTTAAAATTGATAAACTCTGAGGTTCTGTTCTTGCAAACATGGTACTATGCTTTTGCATGAAATTTTCAGGTAGCATTCTTTTTTTATGAAGTGGTTTTCAGCTACTTTTGGTAACAGGCTGTTTTAAAAAAATGAGCCAATAATGACGGATGCTATTTGCATTATAGTTAGTTAACTTATGTGCATAACATAGCACAGTTCATGAAAGACTGTCTTTTGCCCATATTCCAAAGGTATTAGTAACCCCAGTTTGGGTGAAATGGTACATAAGAGTTGTAGCACTGTTACAGTCATTGGGTGTGGGTAATTCTCCCCCCTTTTTTTGTTCTCAGAAATCTGTTGTAAAACAAATGTAAATATATTGAAGCAGCTGATATGCTGAAGTGGAAGAATTTCGCCAGCAGTGCTTTATTAACAAATGAACTTGCATATAATTGATCAATAAAGTACATAAACATAAACTGGGATAGAAAGTTGGTCTGGTGCAGGTGGTTTCTTTTAAAGGCAGTGTCATTCGCGTATAATTATTTTTTGTGCTAGGGTAAAATAAAATTCTCAACTGCACCCTGCCAAAAAAAAGTCCAAAATCATGACATGTATTTTGGTACAAACCACATCTTTATATGACAAATTGATAATTTTGTATACAATTTTAAACAGCCTAGTACCTTTTATTACACCCTATAGATTGTTTAGCATAGAAGATTTCTGCATAATTACATTTTAAGTTAACCTAGAATGAACTAAAGGCAATTAAGTGAATATAATATTAAGTTCCTATACAGGATATACTTAAAACATTATTTGTGTTTATTTATTCCAATAGTGTATGTGTGATATTTTGATGAATTTTAAATTTTAGGGAAATACTGCACTTCATTATGCTGTTTCATATGGGAATTTTGATGTTGTGAGCATTTTAATTGATTCTAAAGTCTGTGATGTTAACAAAAAAAATAAGGTATTCAATTTTTTTACTGGGAATATTTTTACTAAAGTCTATTTTTGTTTATTAGAAACTATTTAAACATGTAAGGTTTTAATTTTAAACATGTAAATGCATTTTAAGTGTTTTACTTAAATGCTGTTTCTTACATATTCCATGTACAGTACAAAGTCCATAATCCGGACTCGTCAGGACTTCGGCGATTCTGAATTAGGGGTTTGCAGAAATTATACAATTAAAAATATGAAATCATAATTTATGAAATAAAGAACAATTATGATCTAAAGGGTATCAAAATTTACAAAAAAAAAAAAGCTTAATATTTATTTGTTTACTTTATTAAACATTTCTTTCAATGTAAATTGTTTAAGATGCTTCCACAAAAAATTCAAAAAGTTCCTTTTTCTTGTGTCATATATAGTTGGACTTTCCAATGCCATACTTCTTACATAATTTTGAGACGGATAGGCCTTTATCCATTTTTTGCAGCAATTCCACTTTTTGTTTAACCACTTGCGCTACGACTAAACTTCACGGTTGTAGTGCCGTGCGCTACAATATAAGAAGCGGTAAAGTGTCTCATTTACGCTGCTCCGCGTCTGCGAGTGCATTCCAGAGCTGTAACTCGAGAAATAAACAATCTCGTTGTTAGGTGACGTTTGCACCATGTTATTTTAATTCTTGCGATAAATGCTCATCGACGAGGTGTTCACGTAGCTCGCAGTTTGAGATAAAAGCCTCTCGACCTGCATGTCACGTCTTTTTAGCGTAAGTGGTTAATGGACATCGAAACATGCTTTCGCTTTGTATATCCTTTGGCAGTTCCAAAATTGGAAATTCTTTTTGACATAATCGAAAGTTCAAGCTTAATTTTTATAAAATTGTTCTAACAGTCTGAAAAAAATAATAAGCCAGATCCAATTAGAAGACTAAAGAACAGCGCAATCTGCAACATTAACTGAAATGCCTTAGATAATGTTAGCCTAACTTATACCGTCCGTTATACATTAAACGTGCATGCGTAAACGCATTATGCGCATGCGTAAATGCATTGTGCACATAGAGCTTTTAGCTTTGAGATCAGGATTATAGATCATTCCGGATTATGGACATCCGGATTACAGACTTTGTACTATATTAGCTTTTACTTATTAAGTTTGAAATTAATTGATATAGCAGTAAATTTTTTAACATTCCATGTATTAGCTTTTACTTCGTAAGTTTAGAGATTAATTGATATAGCAGTAAATTTTTTAGTGTTATGGATCTTAAATCTTTAATTTTAAACTATCAAATACTTTTATCTTCTACAAAATGTTGAATAATTTTGCAGGGAACTTGGTAAAATTTCTTCACCTATTAATTACATTCTTCATATTTTTACTAAAATTTGGAAGTAAGGAAAATTTTCATTTAAAGAAACTGTTTTATTCTGTTATTATGAGTGCATATTTATCTTTATTTAGGCTGGTTATACAAGCATAATGTTGGTTGCTTTAGCAGATATGAGAAATGATGCTCACCATTATGTTGTGCAGAGACTATTCAGCATTGGAGATATCAATATAAAGGCCACTCAGGTTAGTTTTCTTCTAGTATTGGCATAGCTTTTTGGATATTTTTTTTTAAAGTTTTTTTACTTCTAAACATCTGGAAGTCAGTAATGTAGATTGCTTGTGAGTACTTGAAAACATATTATAGAAAGAAAACATTAGAAAACATATTATAAATGATGATAGCTTCACTTCCAGTTAAAACATCCAAGAATTAAATAAACTGTGTCGGTGCATTTCACAGGAGAAAAAGTATAACTACATAAAACAAGGTAGAATTTAATTATACAAAATGGGTTATGCTCCATTTTACTAATATCATTGTATAATTATTTTTAATTGCAGTATGGTTATTGGGAAACAGCAATTCAGTTCTGAGGCAGGTAACCTTAGTGGATGTTTAACATTGTTAAAGTGGGACATTTTAGTTAAAAGCATCTGCATTTTAATTAGACTACATGCCAAGGATTCTCAACCTTTTTTACACCATGCACCCTTTCACCACTGCTGGAAGTTCATTCCCTTCCAATTTCAAAATTGAAATCTGTGTATATATTTTTATGAGGTTTAGCTGTATAATTATTTTTATTGCATTATGGTTATCTTGGTAAAACAATTCAGTTTTGAGGCAGGTAACCTTAGTGGATGTTTGACATTGTAAAAATTAGGGCACTTTGGTTAAAAACATTTGCATTTTCATTCAACTATAAACCAAACGTTTTCAACCTTTTTGTGCCATCCACCCTTTTCATCACTGCTGGAACCCCCCCCCAACTCCAAGTTCCAAAACTTATAAAATACATACATATATATATATATATATTTATTTTAAGATTATTTTTAATGTCTTTTATTAATTAAACAAAAAATGGATAAGTACCAAAATTTAGATAGAAGTCGCTTTTTTATTTTCATAAACAAACTAACTACTGAACAGCAAGTTGACTATATCCCCCTTGAGACTATGAAATCCCATCTGGGAAGAATTCCCCACACCTGTTATAAGCTTTTATTGTTGAATTACAGCAGTAAAGGAAATGACAGTTACAAACAACATTGCCATTATGAGTAGAAGTTATGAGAAGTAGTTCATTCTTCACATAATCATATAAGTTTACAAATGTTATACAGAATACTTAATCACAATCTAGCCTATTTTAGGGTATTTTCTTCAACTCTTCTTCCTAAGCTACATTGTAAGCCAGTAGGATTTTACAACATTTTGACATGTAATCCTGCCATTAGTTACCACTATTGCTATCAGCCACTCACATTTATTACTGATTTCTGCAGTTGCAGACTTTTAAGATGCCATTCTATTACAAAATAATAATGTATTTCGATGTGTTTTGATCATTTGTAGAATTCTAGGATTTTGGCAAGTTTCCCGCTTGCGTTATCAATGGAAGTTTTATATATGCAGTTTCCAGCAATGCCATTTACATCTCACTGTAACCAAATTATTCCTTTGGTACCTTAACCCTTTGACGTGCATGATATTATTTTTATATTTTTTTAACAAAAAACTCTAGAAATTGAATATTATGATCATAGAGACAAAGAATATATGAATTAAAAAAAATTACTCTTGCCCATTGTTCTGTGTGTGGTGGTCGCACAATGAAACCACCGCACGTCTAGGACTTTGAAACTTACTGAGGTAGTGGGGGGGGGGAAATTACCTTTCTCCGTGTGCGTTTTCAATAAATGACGAAATTTACGAATTTTAAAAAAAAAGTGTATGTAAGAATTGCACTATATATAATTTTTTACATAGTAAATAGTCAGAAAAAATTTAAAAAATAAACATTTATGTAATTTTTTTTGTTGCAGTGAAAATATAAGTACCTACATAATGACGTTTGGCTAAATGGATAAAAAAAACTCAGTAAAATAAGGATAAAAAAACAGACTCGGTGTATTTTTTTTTTTTTTTTTTTGAATTTCAAAGAACAATTTTTTTTGACAGTGTTCAAATTCAAATTCAAGCATATTTTGTTTTTTTGGTACATACATAGACCCACATTGCACGTTTCGCACATGCGTCTTCTGTGAGGGTTCTTCCTTGTGCTACAAAACGTACACTGCCTGGATCTAAATTCACTGGTATATGTCCAGCGTTGTTTAGTTTCTTTTCATCTGGCATATGAAATTGTGGTTTTTTATGTTAATCGGGGGGAGGCTTGGTCTTTTTGGCTTTAATACGGATCATATTCAGAAAATATTTTTAATTTGAATAAAACTTTAAGCAATTTCTATTTTCAATTATAGCAAAATATGTTTACATTAAATTCAAAACACAGGAAATAATTTATAAAATCACAATATTAGCTTGGGGAGGAAGTGTGTTGAGGTCAGAGAAAAGTTTCTGGAAAAGAAAGACCTTTTTTACTGGGCACGTGCTTGTATTGTTTAGTAATAAAATAACTCTGTGGTTTCAAAGCCCCTTATCTATATACGGGTAAAAATAAACATTCCTATTTGAGAAGCAAGCAAATGCCATTGTGAGTAGCAGTGGTTTCAAGATGCAACCACCGAGCCTTTAGAGCATTGTGTAGAGAAGTGGTCGCGCCCTGAAACCACAAAGCAAATGCCATACATATAGAGGGGTGTTTTATATATGCAGTTTAATTATTCCTTTTTTTCATTGTTTATGATAGAAATCATGATGTGCGATGAATAACTTTTGAAAGTTAAAGTTTTTTATACTAATAAATGGAAGTTATTTTGTCTCATTGAAAACGAATTTTAAAAGACATCCGATTTGAAGTACTAAGACCTAAAACATGTATGATTCTGCACTCATTTTTGTGTTATTTAAAGGTAAAAGGTCAGTAATCAATCAATTTTGACTAAAAAATTTTGGAAAGAAGAGGAGAAAAAAAATTTGAAAATTGGTGGTTTCAGGGCACGACCACCGCGCGTCAAAGGGTTAAATAGCAGTAACTGCTTTCGTTCTGGAAATTGCTAGTGATCTTTAAAGAGCGTAAGAGAAAGTTTCATCTGCGAGGATGCAGTAATACCATTAGTTGAATATTGGTTTTTTAAATCTCTGGCAAAGTAAGCATCAGTGAATGCCTTAAAATTCAGGTCAGTGATCCTCAGACCATGTATAATAGAAGATACTTGAATTGCTTTTGTCCATTCAGGTTCTGTGAGATATTTCAGTTATTTTGTAGGACATGTATCTGAAGAAAAGATATTTAGACGTATTAGTCATTAAATATATTAAGCAACCAACTGCTTCACAATAAGAAATTTCATTTTAAAGTAAATTGTCATTACTACCTTAACTCAAATGACATTGTTTTGCAGCAAAATTGGCTTGCCTTTATCCTTTTCAGGTTTACAAAGTCTTGGTCTCATTTTCATCTAGAGCAAATATCTAATCTCCATAGTGAGAAGCCACATTCCTTTTTCATCTAATGCAGTAGCTTCTGCATATATAACAACATTCAGAGAATTTTTCTCATCAAGAGCACAAAAGTCATCACAAGTACAAAATCATTTGCTGCTTTGAGATATCTAGACACACTTCCTCTTGATGTGAGGATTTATTTAGTGATGTAGTTTATAGCTTCAGTCATTTACTGCAGTAACATTAGCCATTGTGCAGATATATTCAGATTTAAAATAAACTTTATGAAATTTAATTACTTTATGCAATGATGAAATACATTTCTGATATAAATCTTTATTATTCATGTAACATATGACCACCAATACTTTTTTATGTGAAATTTGTGAGGGAATTGCTTTAGCATACCAAGTTCCGTAAAAGTGGTTTAAAGAAGGCAATGATTGACAAATCCAAAGCTCAAAAGCACTCTCACTTTGACTTGGTATAGAATGAGTACAATTTAAAATGTATATTGTTCTTTCACATGCATTGATCCACAGTGATTTGGTAACTTACTAACAGTAGGCATTAAATAAGCAGGTATAGTATCGTTTGTTTTCATTCTGAATAACATTTTTGTTCTGCTGTTAGTTAAGCATGAAGTTATTTCTTAATTGGTAAGGATTTTCTTGATTTCAGCACAACTGATTTTGTGACCATGATCACAGTGAAAACGTTTCACTTATCAGCCTACTGTAGATGCTTTATTCAACAGCATATCTGGGGAAGAACTTAATCATGCTTTCATTTTAGAGAAATATTTGATGGTATTTTGAATATTTATGTTTGAAGCAACTAGTAAAGGGCACCAGGAAATGAGTTTACACATGTGGGATCATTTTCATCTGTATGGATCATTTCATCCATTACTTGTGATTTATACTGGCATAACCTAAGTGGCTCAGTCACCCAAAAAGTCACTGCTTATTGTTTGGTTTACTTTGATACTTCTGCCATACATAATTGTTTTAAATGCCTTTCATTTTGTTGGTCTAGGCATTTGTGCCATTATTGCATTGTTTCAAGTGCTGAAGCTCTACCAACTAGATATCTTGGTGTAGCAACACACATTTATATTAGCTACATCCCATCCAATAATTAGCTATATCTACAAGTTTTCTATCTTGTATAAATTTAATATTTTGGTCATCCCTTGTTACTTAAAAGTTATATTCAACTCAACGCACACAAAATGAATTATGCCTGATATCAGGAATATACCAAGCATTTTGTAAATAAGCTGGATAGTTTTTTCATACACATGTGCACACACACACACACACACACACACACACACATACATACATCTCAATAAAGATTCCGCTTATACCAAATTATTTTTGTGCTCATATAAGCCAATGTAATATCTGCAAGAGTATCAAAGTAGTTGAATTATGAAAAAATATTGCTTGTTTGTTATCTTTCTGTTAAGCACCAGAGGCACATACCCAGGAATCTGCCTACAAGATTCTATTAATTGCAATAATCACCGAACATTTATGAATTTTTGAAGAAGAAAAGTATTCATTGTTTGGTCATTCAATCATTATAAGACATTCTTTGCAGAAATGACCAACTCTCACATTTTTAAAAGTCCCCTCTCCCCCATTTTAATAGATGCATTAAT